CTACCTGCCTTGACTCACATATGAGCTTAAGTGACATCCCGTTCCTAATCCATAGGGTTCAATATGACGTCGGTCCACCCTTTGCAGCTAGAACAGCTTCAACTCTTCTGGGAAGGCTGTCCACAAGGTTTAGGAGTGTGTTTATGGGAATTTTTGACCATTCTTCCAGAAGCGCATTTGTGAGGTCGCACACTGATGTTGGACGAGAAGGCCTGGCTCTCAGTCTCCGCTCTAATTCATCCCAAAGGTGTTCTATCGGGTTGAGGTCAGGACTCTGTGCAGGCCAGTCAAGTTCATCCACACCAGACTCTGTCATCCATGTCTTTATGGACCTTGCTTTGTGCACTGGTGCACAGTCATGTTGGAAGAGGAAGGGGCCAGCTCCAAACTGTTCCCACAAAGTTGGGAGCATGGAATTGTCCAAAATGTCTTGGTATGCTGAAGCATTCAGAGTTCCTTTCACTGGAACTAAGGGGCCAAGCCCAGCTCCTGAAAAACAACCTCACACCATAATCCCCCCTCCACCAAACTTTACACTTGGCACAATGCAGTCAGACAAGTACCGTTCTCCTGGCAACCGCCAAACCCAGACCCGTCCATCAGATTGCCAGATGGAGAAGCGCGATTCGTCACTCCAGAGAACGCGTCTCCACTGCTCTAGAGTCCAGTGGCGGCGTGCTTTACACCACCGCATCCGACGCTTTGCATTGCACTTGGTGATGTATGGCTTGGATGCAGCTGCTCGACCATGGAAACCCATTCCATGAAGCTCTCTGCGCACTGTTCTTGAGCTAATCTGAAGGCCACATGAAGTTTGGAGGTCTGTAGTGATTGACTCTGCAGAAAGTTGGCGACCTCTTCGCACTATGCGCGTCAGCATCCGCTGACCCCGCTCCGTCAGTTTACGTGGCCTACCTCTTCGTGGCTGAGTTGCTGTCGTTCCCAAACACTTCCATTTTCTTATAATACAGCTGACAGTTGACTGTGGAATATTTAGGAGCGAGGAAATTTCACGACTGGATTTGTTGCACAGGTGGCATCCTATCACAGTTCCACGCTGGAATTCACTGAGCTCCTGAGAGCGACTCATTCTTTCACAAATGTTTGTAAAAACAGTCTGCATGCCTAGGTGCTTGAATTTATACACCTGTGGCCATGGAAGTGATTGGAACACCTGATTCCAATAATTTGGATGGGTGAGCAAATACTTTTGGCAATATAGTGTATTTAAACATAAAATGGAAAACCAAAAAAATTCACATCACAAGAGTTTTGCCGTTTTTCAGATTTTGTATATGCATATATATATATATATATATATAATATGCATAATTTTCCTGCCAAACTAAAATGAAAATGAAGAAAATGCAGCTCCAACGTGACAGAATTGCTTCTTTTGATAAAAAGTTATATATATACATTTGGCAACTTATAAAATGAGTTAATCAAGTTCGATCAACTTGATTCAAACACTGGAACCAATGCATTTATGTTGGACATGCATTCTCGTTTTAGAGCCTAATTGCGTTTGCTTTTTCAAAAACATACCACAATAAAACTTAAATTGGGACGAACAAAAGAAAAGTTAAACCTGAACCCTTTTGGAACATCTTATTATACTTTTGTCTTGGTAAACTGCCCTTAGCAAAAAGTAGTATACTTGAAGTAAATTATATTAAGAATACTTAAGTATAAGTTTAGAAAGTATACCGAACAATGTACTTTTAGTGTACTTGAAGTATTACTAAAGTAATACTTCTTCAAATTAAATTGGGACATTTTTAAGTTTACTAAAGTACACTTAAAGTATACTTTAGTAAACAATAAAGTAAACAATAGTATAGTCAAGTACACTTGACTATACTATTGTTAAGTATATGAAATATAGTTTAGAATAAGTAAACTCTAAGTGCACTATCCTGATTTTAAGTATGAAATTAGTGCACTTTTAGTAAACGTGAATAAACTATTTTTTGCTAAGGGTGGTAATAAACTGGGGTAGTGAAGTTGCCAGAGAGTATCTGCAGGGAGGATGGTCTGCAATCATTTTAATGTTTTCTGCGTTGGAAAAATGCTGGACGGAAAACAAAAAAAACAAAAACAGAGCTGCACTTTCTGCAACTTTAGAGCAGCACTGCCTGGAGAATAAATAGTGAGCCCACCGTGGGACTGGACAAGACCAGCTTCAGATTCCCACGACCCCTCCTCTCCACGCACACTGAAGAGGAGGCTGCAGAGACGCACAGAGGCAGAGCAGCGCTGCACCACTTTTCCCTTCATTTACTAGAAAAGCTACATTTCAGGCTCCGCTGTTGCGCATTGTACTGACTCACACTGTGCTGCGAGGACGATTTAAAAAAAAAAAGCCAAAAAAGGTCCAGATCTTAAAAGAAAATGGGAAGGAGAGGATTAGCCGCGGATCAAAAGTGGAGGAGTGGGAGGAATAACGCAACTCGGGATTATATATTCTGATAAAGAAGCCGGTTTCTGCTTCACATTTACAACCAAATAAAGGCAAGTACCCGCTCTCACTGCACACACATTAAATGCATTATTTTGGTGAGCAACAGCGCGCGGATGGATTAAAATGAAGGCTAAACGATGCATGCGTAAAAACACTTCTAACTTGAAAGACGAGCGTTTTAGATTCGCCCCCTGAGTCAACTCCTCTTCGGGGCAAATTAATGATGAGTTTAGTTCAGAGGACCTCCACAGACCCCCCTCTAATGACCGCAGTGAGGTGGTGAACTGATGGAGTGGTCCAATAACAGGGGGCTTCGGGTTCAGACTGACTGAGGAGGCTGTTTAGCTCCACAGGGAGGAACTGCAGAGAGGTTGGCATCTCATTAACTCAGCCACATGTCTTATTAAAACAGCTATTTCCTGTTGTGTGCATTGCAGGGTAAACTCTCTCCCCTCCACCCATGCGCTCACTTAAAGATGCTGCATTCACTGTTTTCATGTTTTTTTCTTCTTCTTTGTGTTTAGTCTGAGGATGACCGCTGCCAGTCCGCCCTGCAGCCCAGCCTCCTCCCACTCCTCATCCATCTGCTTCTCAACCTGCTACAAACACCTGAGAAAAGGTGAAGCCCTCCAGAACAAGCTGCGCCTGGACTCCCCTCCAGGTGTGTGGCTCCTGCTGGGTGGAATGATGGTGCTGTTGGGGATGAGCGTGGCTGTGGCGGGGTACGTCTCTGCGCCGCCGAAGCCAGCTGTGGGTGAAAGGAGGGACACCCATGCTGATAGGATGAAGCTGGCTGGGCCAGTGGTCATGGGGGTTGGCCTCTTCATCTTTATCTGCGCTGCCTCACTGCTGTTCGAGAACCGGGACAAGGAGAATCCTCCTTGTGACAGTTCTGATGACATGGAGGATCTGAGGAAGAGCAGCAGCAGGGAGGATACTCAGGAGCAGTGGGAGAATACAGATGAGGAGCAGTTGGAGTGGGCCAGCCCTGTCCACCAACTGCCCCACTTAACCCAGAGCCCCCTGCTTCCTCGCCCCAACAGCCCTAACTCACTGCCAGCTCCTCCTGATGCAGGAGGCAAAGATATAGAGGGAGAAATTAAAGAGGAAGAGGAGAAGAAGGGGAAGAAGATACTGCTCACAATTGTCACCAAAGCTCTCCACCACCAGGAACCGGTCCCTCACCCATCTTCCCCTTGCCTGTCCGACTCCTATGACTCAGTTCACTTGGACTCGTGCAACTCGTGTGAGATAAACCTTAATGAACGGACAGTGTCAGAGCTGCCCAAAGACTGACAGAGCTGCACAGGACTATGCACTGCTGAAACATTCCTGTGTTTTAGTGCCTCTGTGTGGCACACTGAGTCACGGTCTGGGAGGGGTGTTTTTGTCCTGCATTGCTCACCAACTCACCCACATATAAAAAACTGAAGCTGCTTTGTTTGTCAACTTATCATCTTGTTATTTCCAAGCTCCATTAAGCCACTTACGGAGGTACCAGATTCTGACCTGGTGGTGGTTGGGTGCTGGAGAAGTTATTTTAGTGCCAACCTGGGTGATAAATGCTTCCTCTCCCCAGAGGTGGACCTTTTCTTTCTTAAGAGGTTCACTTAAGAGGATAATCCAGATTAGGTCTTGAGTGAGTCTTTGTCTTATCTCACATGCAGTGTAATCTTCTCTTTATCTCAGTGAAAATTGTGTTTCGGCGTGAACAACAGCAGGACATAAGGCCACACTCCTCTCACTCGACACCTACAGCCATGCTATTAATACCAGCTGGTGCTCTATAGCTAAAAATCTGGATTTCTTACAGCAAATTATGACAGTTTCTTTGGATTTCAACATTCAGCTGCTCAAATTTTCCCTTTCCTTGAGGGCTGCAATGCAAGATCTGAAAGAATATGTAAGTGGATGAACAGGAACGAGTAACAGCATTAACAGAAAAAAAAAACAAATTCTGGTGGCGAAGCTGCTGAGTTATTCTTGACGTAACTGAGAAAATCAGTCCTGTCAGTTTGAGTAAGTGATGCCTCACTCTCCCACCATCTCGACCTCTCATCTCCCGTCTCTTCATCCCCTTGTTTCTAACGCTTTATTCAAATCTCCATTACAACATCTCCTTTCTTGGCTTACGCACAACTGAGAAAGCGCAGAAAGGAACAGATAAAACACAGGAAAGAACAATTAAGGAGAGGATTGCTGAATTGTTCTGTTCAGGTTATAAGTAGTTGAAATCTTATCTCTTACGGCAACTTTATTTAGCTTTACTCCAGATTATTTGGACAGTTGAAGCCACCAGATGGTCAGAGAAAGATTCAAAACCCAAAATATAATCATATTCGTTATTGATTTTTAGTCAAGATTAAGTTTTCTATCAGATATCAGAACAGCTGGACTTCCTGATATTTGTTCTCAGCTTCTGTTTCACAGGGAAGATTATTGACGGGGCACCTCCTCCGGGCTACATTTCATTTGTTAATAATATAGGTTTTCCAGTAAAAAATCTGAACACCGATATAGGGCTTTATGTAAAAAATATTAGATTAACTTTTTAATTATTTTACTTCCACAAGTGACGATGATTAGCTACAGGTGAAACTGAGCTCAGAGTTGATGACCTTCTAGTAATGTTCCCTTTGAAGTAAGAGCTTAGAACAGAACAGGACTTTCTATTCAATATAACAATTTGATAGAAAATGAATGTACATTTAGAACAATGTAAGGGTATTTGTGTTTAACTATTTCTTTGCACCAAAGTCTATTCTCTCTTTCAAATGGAGGAATCTGATAAGCCTTGTTTCTGGGGCAGATCGGCCATCTTTGAGGACAGTTTTGGTGCCAAAGGTTGCAGAATAAAATCATGAAACCATTCTCTGATGACGTTAAAAGCAATATTAGCAAAGAGCGATGCTCTCACCAAATGCTGTTTTGGTATTTAAGAATATATCACTGCCGCAACCTAAGACTGGGCGATATATAGAGATTTTTAAAAAACTTTAGAATTCAATTCTAAAGAGATAGAAGTCTAAATCGTTTATATTGAAATGATCTACTCTGTAATATAATTATACTTTTAAAAAAATGCCAGTAGGTTATTTTTCCAGCTATTTCAGGCATGATCTTGTGTTTATCTACAGCCATTTTTTTTTTTAATATGCCAGTGTGACATTTAGGACAAAGCTCTGTAGTCTAACCGTTCAGACAAATCTGCCCAAAGACATCCTAATCTAAAGAAAAGCTCTCTACAGCAGCCTGTTGTTAAAATATTAATGATATAAACAGATGTCTTGGGGCTTAATAAATTAATAAAATATTGGCCTGCCACCTATGCTGTGATTGGTCCTATTGGTTTTAGACTGGACACTATGAGTCTTACCAGACTGAATTACACCCTGTGTAACTTATTCTGGTTGGCCAGGCTGTTTCAGATTTGCCCTTATTTAACTACTTCATAAAAAGAAAAATTCTATGATGATAAATATTGCTTATCCCCATTCAGATATATATTTGATCCATATCGTCCAGCCCTACCGCATCCAACAAACATCTCTATTCCTTTTGTCCAAAAATGTATTTTTTTCTCTCCCAAATTTGGCTCCATTCTATTAAACTTATTTGTTCTATTAAGTTGAATTTAAATGATATACAATAGCATTCACATCACCAGATGTTAGATTTCAGAAATTTTATATTTTAAGGTTGGTGGACGTGTTCTTCGGTCCTGGCCATTTTCAGACATGTTTAACATTTAAGACGAGCTAATCTGGATTATTACAAAACACGGACGCAAAGTGAGTTATCCATTGTAGGTAGATTATTAACTGCTTACATTCTTTTAACAGAACCCCCATCAAAAAATCCTGACCAATCCCTTTTAAGCCCAAATTTAGTCCATAAGCACAGATGGTGCCGGAAAATGGGTTGGATTGTTTTTTTTTTTTGTTTTTTTTATCCTCAGCCTTTTTTTTTCTCTAGTGTCTGCACAAGAGAGTTTAAAACATTTTATGAGTAGTTTAGGACTGCTAAGTATTTCCTTGCAGGTTGGGGCCCATGCTAACCTCTGGATGAAGAGTGAGACTGGAGTTTATAGTAATCTGAACCTATACCTCTCAATGCTCCTGACAACAGATTCAGTCTGGCCTGGAGCTGAATGCTGTTAGATGCAGGATGTATATTTCAGTTGCAGTGTGTAAAAAAAGAAAGAAAAAAACTTGACTTAAGCTGTCAACATCTCTGGTGAAAAAAATAGAGGAAAAAAAGAAAAAGATCTGCCCACTCTTCACTCTCACACTTTAGGGGAGTCCCGCTCAGTGTGAGATGATCAAATGCATTTGAATTCAGTGAGAATGAGGCTGTGAGGCTGCAGTCAGTGATTATTTATGTATAAAATCGGTGTGTGACAGTAAACCGAGCTGAGAGAATAATGTCAGCGCATATCTAAACGCACGCAGAAGTGACTGCCGCTACACAAATTGAGAAATCTCCCCAAGTGTAGATTGGTGTTGATGTTGTGCAGCGGCGTTACATAAGTCAGCAGTGCAGGTTTTATGCTGCATTGACAGTACAAGTGAATCAAATCCTTTACTCGGAGAGTATTGTGCTCGTGTGAGCGCATTGATACATATCTGAGCAGACAGAAAGGAAGCAGTAAGCTGCTTAGCCCTGCGCTGACTCAGTACTCAAGCAATTTCTCTGCTCCTTATAAGAGGGAAGCTTCAATCAACATTTTTTATTGAGACCCAACCAGCTGGGAATTTTCTGTGTTTATTCCCCTAATAGAGATCATCTGTGTTACCAGAAAAAGGAATTTTGCTAAGGAGTGATGGAAAGTTGAAAGCACTAATACACAAAGGTGTGTGCTTGAGAGAAGGTATTTATTTTCCCACTGAAGCAATACCTGTCAGCTCTTTAAGTCTGACATTGACATTTTACCCATTATTCAAACTGCCAATAAACTAAACTGCATTTTATTAAAGGAAGCATTATTTTTTACGTTCTCTGTGAGTTTTATTTTGTTTCCACTGTAGAAGATGTCAAAACTCCAATGATGGACAGCCTTACAGCAGCTATGATTGGTCGTAAAGAAATGCCAGGTGCATTGCTTAGCTAATCCAATTTCTTTCCAGCTTCCAGTTAGGCGGTGAGTATTCATGCTACAGTCAAAGGGAGATACCTGCTCAGAATGAAAGGAATAATATTCTGGGTTTTTGCCATTGTGATGCTCTCACCTGCTAAAGGTAAGATGGCTTTTTTTCAAAGGTCTGAAGGTGTTTCTGCTGCGCTTACAGGGACATGGGTTCTGTGGCACAGGAGCGTTTTCCACATCAATGCAGGTTCTAGTGGTCTGAGAGGTATTAAATCCAACTGCTTGTTCTGTGTGAGCCATTAAAATAGCCTGGAGTGATTAAATAGCAACTGGAGGTGTAAATGAAATGACTTTTCTGAAGGCTGCACATGTAACCTCTGGACTAACTGTATCAAATAGGAATCAATGAGAAGTTTGCAGAATAACCAACATTTGTTTTTGAGATTTATGAGATATTATAATTAATAAAACACCAGCAAAGCTAGACATATACCAAAAATTCAGAGAAGTGATTTTGATTGTCTGTTTAGTGCAATAACTGCAGATCGCAAATATATTAAATGTATAATAAAGGTAGAAAATCTGAAAATAATCATCTTCAGAAATGTTGCCCATCAATATAGTTGCTTGAAGATGTCATTATGAAATCCTTCCTTTTCATTTTTCATCAAAATGTAAGAATCTGGGTATGAGCTGGTTTTATTTAAAAATTGTGGACAACACATTTCTTATGAATAAACATGGATTTGTCATGTAGATGCATCATCATCTCGACATTTAAACGTCTTATTACCAGAGATTACTGCTGGTCTGCTGTTTAACGGTCGAATAGGAGAAATAAAAAACAAACGCCATGACAAATAAATTTAGACAGAGCAGGAGACCAAATAAAACTGTCTTTTTCCTCCTGATAAACTGAGCCATTTCTCTTTGGTCTGCTGGTTTAACTGAGCTAATACTAACAAGATCAAAGTAGATAAGGATTGTGAGTCTCCCTGAAACACAGCACAGCTCAAACATCTGATGGCCCTCAGGGAGAGATTAGCTGAATCTAAAACTACCTGTGTAATAATGGCTGTCCACTAAATGCATTACTGGAGAGAGTAAACAAGGGAAATTAGCACAATGTTGTTTTAATATATTTAAATTAAACAAATAAAAAATAAACACAACCTTTTAATATAGCAAACTGAAAGCAAGGCTTGTTTATACCCTGGCATATTACAGAACTTTCTGTTTATGCCATCTATTTATTCCTCTACCTTCTTGCTTGAAAAAAATCTTGACCAACTAGGGTAATGGATCTACTTAAAGAAACATGTTCCAGACAGCAGCAGGATAAACAAAACATTTCTGAGATGTTTAAGGGCTAGACAGAATGTGTTGCATTATGCTCCAGTTTGGTTTTATGCCCCCTAACAACCATGCACCACTAAGGTGAAAGCTTACTGCTGCAACAGGTCAACAAATGTAAACTCTTTTCTTTTTGTGTATAACTTGACAGAATTTTCCTTAGGGATTGATAAAATATTAATGAATTGTATTATCTATTAATGAGGAATCTGTTTAATCTTTTATTTTTATTTGTTCGACAGGTTCGCCATCAGTTTCTCCGAGATTCGGTACAATTTAATACAAAGTACCCACCTTTAAATGCTTAACTAGTCCACCTATTTGTCTGTTTCACTAATTCTGAAACAACACGATATTTATGGAGTGTAGACCAGGCTGGTTTCACCGTTTTGTTCCGCAGCTGGATTAACAAAACAGCAATATCCAGACATTAATGCAAATATTTTAAAGCACATTTTATATAGCTGCTTACTTTTATCGTATTTCTAAAAAACTCCTCAAAATAGCATTTTTGGTGCGCTATTTGGCTTTTTAATTAGCCACAGTTTAAGAGCAGCATATCTGTTGGACCTGAATTTGAGGTTATCTGAATTCCAAAAAATATGCATTCAACGTGCATTCATTCACTGTTGCATTCATTCAAGCACTGTTGGGTTGATATTAAGGGCACGATGTAACAAATACAGGCTAGTGATTGTCATTTAAGTATATCTTTATGTAAAAACTACTGTATCTGTGAAGTAAAGTAGAAAAAGTTTGAAAGTCCTTTTTCTATTGTCATCTAGATAGGGAAAACAGTTCAAAGAGAGTGCAGTAATTTCTGTGAATTAAGTTTCTAGTGGTCATATTGACATTTATCAAAAAGTTTTTAATTAATACATTTCTTTGATTTGATTGTACTCAAATCTTAATTGCAACTCTTTGTGTTCAGGTGAAGAAGAGGAGCAGATGATGGATTTGGAGGGACAGGAGCAAGAAGAAGAGTACCTGGAGTGTTTCCGCTGTGATCTGGGCTTCTGGGATGCATGCTATACGACAGAAACCAACTGCAGCCAAGGGGAGCTCTGCTACACGGGCAGAGGGAAGGCAGGTCTGTTATTCATCTAGTGGGGTTAGTTGTTAACTGTTACACTAATAATACGTAAATCATTTGCCGATTAAACTGGCTGCGTTTTACCTCTTCTCCTCAGCCGATTCCCTGGATATAAAGACACTGGGCTGTGCGAAGGCCGTGGAGTGTAACGTGGAGACGACAGTGGAGCTTTTTTTTAATAATAACATCTTTGTCATGACCAAGTCCTGCTGTGACACCCCTTTCTGCAACTCTGCACAAAAAATACCCATTGGCACCCTTTTTTATCTGACTTTGGCTGTTTTAACCACTCGTTACACCACTAAAGACTTGGTCTGATAAAAAAGCAACAAAAAAATAAAATAATTTTTTTTTCATATGTGTTGTAAAAAATGGTTGAAGTTATGCTGAAGTTACCTCAGGCAGGAAAAAACTGCCATGTTTGCAAGATCTGCAAAATGTTTGTACTAAGGGATAAATAAACACTAGATATTTGTAACACACAAACAATGTACATTTATACCGTAATCAAGTAATTGTGTTTTTATTAACACTGAAACTAGGACATGCGCACGCTACTTAAATTTCATTAAAATTTCTTACTATTTAAACCATATAAGTTAAAGAATATCTCACTGAGGAATGAAAAAATGTTTGCAACAGTTGAAGAGTTTAGCTGCGCTTCAGCAGCTCTCCAGCAGAGGGCAGTAGTTCATCTTTCATGAAACTCTGCAGATCCACATCTTTGTCCTCCAGTTCAAGACTCAAGAACTTCTCCACCACAGACTGGCATCTGTTGATCAAATATGCATTTTTTTTTGTGTCTCAAATAAAGTTTATTTACTCATTTTACATGAAGCAGAGTTTAACACACCTCTTGTCCCGGTCCCCTGACGATTCTTGGTCAATGTGTTTGATGGGTTTTCCTGTCCTGTAATGTTCAGACACCTTAAATAGAAAACACAATCACTTTGTGAGCATGAATCTGTGACTCTCTGTGTGAGGCTGTGTGTGTTTGTCTTGAATGACCTCCATAGCTCGGTGTACAAGGCATGTTGGCAGGCCTGCCAGTGCTGCGATGTTGGCAGCGTAACTGGACTGACAGATCCCTTCCTTCAGCTGGTACAAAAACACCAACTCATCTCTGTCCACTGCTGTTTCCAAAGTCTAAAAACAGACATGCAGAGACTAAATTGGGGTTTATTCTTTAACGGGTCAGATGGATGTTTCTCTTGTCACAATTACTACAATCTTAGTACAATTTTACAACAGAAAATCCTCTTTATTTGTTTGTGCTTGGTTGGTGTTTCTCCCTACCAGGAAGGAAAGCATTCCAGTAGTTGGAAGGAGGCCTAATTGCATCAAACTGTGAAAGTTTGTAGCCAACAGGATGTGTGGAACATCCACCACAGACTTTTGCAGCCAAAATGAGACTGATGCAGCGAGTAAAGACAGCCCGTCAGCCTGCAGGAGAAAATTATGTTAAGGTGAAGAAAGACAACAAGTTAGTGTCGGAATAGATTCTGTTGTAAATCAACCAAAGCATTTCACACAAACTGCAGACAGTCCGTTTATTGAACTGCTGTCTGTTAACTGAATCTTCCTGCCAATAAGTTTGCAGAGATCAAATATCTTCCATATCTTAACTGTAGCCTGTTTAACCTAATATACAGACTAATACAATGTTTTTTCCTGTCAAACATCATACAGAGGCCATTCACTGGTGCCCCCTGCAGGCTGAGTTTAGCCATGTTTCCTTTTACTGCAGCAGAAAGAACAAGCTGTGATAAAACCCACATATATATTTATGGATTTTTAGAAAAAAAATTACTTACTTTTTCACTACGCACTTACTTTACATCTTTAATGTTTATAACATTAACTCTAGTTAAAAATATTTAACTTTTAAAATGTAAAACATTTATTAAACTTGCAAAGAAACTACAATGTAGCTCTTTTATTTAAAATTCGTTAAAAGGCGTATTATTAAAATTATGTTTAAACTTCTCAGAAATTAAAGGAAAAATAGTTTTTTGTAATACAGCAATCAAACTCTTCTTCAGGGCCCTCTGGACCTGACCCGTGATCACAATGGAAACTCATAGCTTTTAGTCATGAGGTGTTTTTATTCTGTAGCTTCAACAAGAGAGCTACAAACACATTTCCCGATACCCACATATCGGGGCTAACTGTTCTCCCCAATGAAGGAGCATTTATCTTGGGCTCCAAAAAAAGTATTCTAATGTTGATGTATTTATTTAATTAACAGGATGTTAACCAACTGATATTGGAGCCTTGCTTTCACGTAACTGTGGACCATAAAATAATATGGTTCACAGTTTTTATATTTCTTGTTTGGTGAATCACAATCCCATGAAAAGTATCTTTTGCTAGCTGCACTTAATGTCGGGATAGCAGAAAAAAATCACATACTAATAGGGCTAGGTTTAGGAACTATTTTTATGATAAAAAAATCCAAAGCATCCTCCTTTGAAGTCTTCAATTCAAAGTAGGCTGCCTTGTTCAACCTTAGAAAACTAGCCGGTCATGCATAAATGAATTTTCTTATTAGGATGTTCATTTACATGAAATAAATAATAACTTTCACTCATGTTCTGAATCTTTTTCTGCTACTTGCCTGCTTTTCATTCATTTACGCCTTTGCCCTTACCCATTGAAATTATACAGCTTTTGTTTTCTAGTGAAAATAAACCTGTAATATTTAAAATAGTCCTTTTCTGGTAAAATGCAGGAAGAATCCCCCTCTTACTGTGTTGGTGCCCTTTCCAAACTCATCAATGAGTACTAATGAGTTCCCAGAGCTGCTATTCAGAGCCAGGGCCATCTGGGGAAAAGAGCAACACATTATGAAAGGAAAACTGTTGTTTCTCTTTCTTCTTTCATTGTTTGTCTTTGTTCTAGCAGTAGAAAGAACATCCAAGGCATTGAGAAACATGTAACATGTGGCGTGTGGGAGTAAAGAGGACGCAAGTGTTTAAATTCACACACCCCTACACAGACTCTCTCATGTTTATGGTTAAAAATGAGTGTGACGTACCTGGTTGAGATCAACCATGAAGCTGCTGAGCCCCACAGAAATGGACTCTCTGCTCTGCATGCGAGTGAAGATCCCATCCACCAGACCAATCTCTGCCTCTTTAGCCGGCACGTTGGAGCCAATCAGAGCCATGAACACAATCAGACCCACCTAAGGAATAGAAAACAGGTAATAAAACTGTGAAGCTGGCGCTAAATGTTCACCAATTACGTAAATTATAGGAATAAAGGGAACTGATTTAGAACTGTATTCAGCCATTTACAGAAACTAACAGCAGACAAACAGGAAAGGAGTAACCCTGGTTTGAATTAAATATTATGGATACGTTCTTCTACCTGTTTGAGGAAGATGCTCTTGCCAGATGAGTTTGGGCCCGTGATGATCTTGATTCTGCTCTCTGATTCGAAGCTCTGGAAGGAGTTGGCAACAAACACAGGAGAACACAACTCCAGTAGTGGGTGTCTGGAAAGATAAGATTTTCAAACAGGAGGACCGTCTGGCTTCATCCTGCAAACTAGTGCCTTATATGCGAGTTCCTACCTGCCCTGTGTTATCGCTATCTTTCTATGCCTAGTAAGCTTGGGTGAGGTGTAGCAGTACTCCTGGGAGGCACTGCTCATGGCCATCAGACAGTCCAGCTCAGCCATCAGATCCAGAACCTACACATTTGTTACAGTGAACGTTTTGGCTTCATAAAGAAAAAAAAAATTCAATTCTTTCCCTAACCACAAAACAGACAGATCTGATGGCTAAGATGTCTTTTTAGTTAGAATTTTCCAACCTTAACCTAACAGGAGATCAAATTACCTACATCACACAAAATCAACTTTTGGAGCTTTTAACTAGTATAATGTTATTATTTTATCAACATTCCACAGAAACGTATTTATCTGGATTGAAGCATGACTGAGTAACCCACTTTGTTCAATCAGCAGACGGTGATGTGAGGACATATAAGCATAAAGTTGAGACAAAGTGGCTTTTTCAGCATCTAATCTGCAAAGTGACAGCAAATACTGGTTTCTAAGCTGCAAAAAAATATTTTTGTGTTATGGTGAAGTAATGCTGGATTTTGTTCAGTCCTCCTTAATAAGAGCCTAATTTCCAAAAACAGCATAATACAATGCCGCAGCAGCTCTAGGGCAATGTAACAAAATCACCAATTAAGAACGGAAATGAAGCAAAATCTATGCAAAGCATACCTATATTTGCATTTAAGATGAAAAACCTTCTTTGTCAGGATCAACTGCTTCAAATTCTATAAGAAAAATCTATTGTAAAGCATGTATTACTATCTAATTGTCAAACAATTAATACAAAATACTCAACAGATAAATAATTTATCCAAATAATCCTTAGTTGCATAGACTAGATGTAAGCGTCATTCAAAAACACTTTTAAATGCAACCATTGCCTTGCATATTTAAGTGAATCAGTTCAGGAAATACACTTTTAATAATCTACAGTGGTGCATTAGAAAACATCCTCATCAAGACACTTTCCCTGACACTCAGGTTTTGTTCCTAAAGTTATAAGCACCTGGAGCTTCCAGTAAGAAATTATTTTTCCTTAATGAACATTTCCACACCTGCTGTGTTTGCAGCTGGGGAAACGGACAACTGTGAGCTACAACACAGCTGCTCCAAACTCGGGCATCTGTTACACTTGTTGAGCATTAACTGAGATCTGTGATTTGTATGCAGCTAGCACATCTTTCATGAATTCCTCTTTGAGCTTGTAGAGTGTTTTCAAAATGACTAAACCAAAACAATTCTGTATAAAATTTTTCATCATTAAAAATCTAACAAAAACAATGCATCATCTGACCCTAAACCTTCCCTTCAAATAATTGCAATGTTCTAGTGATAGAATTATATCACCAGAGAATCGGTCACAGAGTCCAGACCTGTTTTATATATAAAGTGAATGAGATAAAACTATTATATTATAACAACAAAGTCCACCCACACACATTACCAACAATCATATCATCATTTTCTTTAGAGAACACCTGATCCAACCTGATGCAGAGAGCCGCTCCTCTCCAGGACTGCATTTTGTAACTGTGTCATCACTACAGTCTCCATGTCTGATGAACACAATATTCACCTTCAGGATACGTTTCCTATGTAGCTGCATTTCAGAAGATTGTTTAGTGATGGAAATTGAAATACCTCTAATGTCACAGTGTAAGTCTCCAAGCAGGTTGTCCAGCTCTCTGGTTCTTTGGCTGCGGTAGTGGAGCCGTTCCTCTGAGAGAAACTGCTTTGTCCGAATATCCAATCACATAAGTCAAAGATGATGTTAACAGTTATATTAATGCAGAAATCATTTGAGGACACAAAGACACACCATAAACTCAAGCCCTTCCATTTCAAAGTCCTCTTTTTCCACCATGCTGGGCAGCCGAGGGACAGAGAGCAGAAATCCAATCTGTAAGGAAATGTTTAACTTGATGTATTATGAGTTTTTATAATAAGGATAATTAAAGGCAGATAGGGTTAACAGGAGAAAATATGAGCTGAAAAAATCTTCAATTTGATTAAGTCACTGACCAGGGGAATGTAAATGACACAACAGGAGGATATTCGAGAGTCCAGTTGTTCTAGTTCTCTTCTGGCAACATCCGTCAAGAAGTCCGACAGCCCCATCATCCTCCTTTTCTCTAAAAAAAGGAAAAGCAAAGACTACTGCATGAAGGCCCCTGAGATCACAACAGAGCAGATCTACATGGGTATTTCTTCATACTCTCATCAATGGCAGAATCGACGTTTGGTTTGATAGTGAAGCGGTTCTCTTCCAAGCTAGCATCAAAATCCACCTAAAAAAAATAAGATCCAATTCTCTGAAATCAACTCTGTCTGACTCCCTATGACTGAATCCAGAAGATCTCAGTCCTGTGTGGAAGAACTCACAACTCGTTTTA